TATTAGTCACATGATTTAAATGCAATAACGAAAAAAACAAAATACTAAATGGGCAGAAATAGTCGTCATTGTGATAATTATTTTGTTAATCTACTAGTGACATCTATCTAACAAATCTTCTAATTCTCATCTTGAGAATAATCAGTAAGTAAACTTTTCAAAAAACTATTTGCGAATAAAATTTTATATCTCATTTAATTATTATCATTTTAGTAAAAAACTCAACAGAGGATATCATGCGATAATAATGGTTAAAAGGGGTCAGTTATCTATCTTACTCAGACAGGTACACATTAACACAGCTAAAGTCATGAGAAAAAAAAACGAACTCTTTGCTTTTCTTTTTGAATAAATTCCATTTTTATTAAAAAAAAGTGTCTTCTCAATTTAGAGTAAGTTTTTTTTTTCTTTGTTCGTGTTCGTGAAATAGAATCAATCCAACACATAAGCGTATCTTTTGTATGTGCGTGGCATATCTTTTTTTAAAACACTATTCTTTTGCTTGATATCAGTATCTTTTGATATATATTTACAATTAATCTAAACTGTTACATATATATATATTTATCTTTGTATTAATAAAAAATAAATTTTTTTATAGATCTCTTGCTTATTTTTTCTTCAACTATTCGGGTTTGCTGTTGTCAACGTTCAATTTCATATGGCGCAACCGAGTCGAGCTCGCGTTTACGCCGATTGCAATACGCATCGACCACGGTAAGCCAGTTTTTTAATATTTTATATTTGTTTAGTAATGAATAAATTTTTTTTTTTAGCGAATACTACGACTACGAGCTGCATGTTGTCGAGTGGGGGTACGTTTATATAATAGCAAAAAAAAAAAGAAAACAACATTATTGATAAATTTTTATTTTAGCAATCAAGATGATTATCAAATCGTACGTAAACTTGGTCGTGGAAAATACAGTGAAGTATTTGAAGGTATTAATATAACAAATAACGAAAAAGTTGTTATCAAAATTCTCAAAGTAAATAAATAGAAAAAAAAAGACAATAAGTAAATAAATTTTGTGCTTTGTTTTTTTTTTTGTAGCCAGTTAAAAAAAAGAAAATCAAACGTGAAATAAAAATTTTAGAAAATTTACGTGGTGGACCTAATGTTATTACATTACTTGATATAGTCAAAGATCCTGTTGTATGTTTATATTTTTTTTGTCTTTGAGATTTTATTTGGCTTTGTTTTTCTATTATAGTCAAGAACGCCTGCGCTTATTTTTGAATATATCAATAATACCGACTTTAAAGTATGACAGTATTTCATATAAAATATAATCAAATATTTGTATTTTATGTAGCAACTTTATCCTACTCTTTCCGATTATGATATTCGATTCTATATGTATGAATTACTTAAAGTATGTATCGATTGAATTCAAAAAATGAATTTAAGGCAACATGTTTTTCTAACATATAAGCCCGACAAAATATAATTTATTTTGTTATATAGAAAAGCTGTTAGCACAGTTCCTTTGGGATTATAATATGGAAAACGATGTAGCTGCTCTAGCTAATCACGAGGAGGTTGCTTTATTCCATCTATTTCGGGACATATATATATATATTGCGAAGAGACATTATTGGTATGTAGATTGTGATCGTATATCTATGTGTGACGCGAAAGATGGCAGAGGTTCAACTTTTTTACCTTTCAATAAATGGACATATTTCTAAAAGTATCTAACGATGTCATTGTGATTTATAACCAAAACTTTCTTCCAATGGAAGACTTCACTTTTTTTATTACTTTAAATCATTAAACGATTGAACGAGAATGTTTTGTTATATTATAATTGTTAAACTTCTTCAGGAAGGTCTTCTATCAAGTCTAGTATACGTAAGATGGTTACAGTACTAAAGAACTAAGGAGACAGTCTCACATAGTGATAAATCGCTGATCTTTTAATGATAGATATGTTAGTGAATTTTGCAACCAAATGTCATGATCTGCAAAAGATCGCAATTTTTATATAGAAACAGATCACTAAAATGACTATCACTCAAAAAGAAGAGTTTATAGATACAAAGTCTTTTAGGTTTTTTTTGATAGTTTGACTAGGGCTTACCAAATGAGGTAAGATACGTCTTTACAATCATTTATCATTAGGCAAAATTGTCGCATAAGTACGAAGTTTTTTTTATTAGACTATACGACAAAGATTTTCTGTTCTTTCTTATTTGTTAAACAATAATGAGTGAAGATCTTGTTATGTAAGAAAGAATAATTTTTATATATTAATTACAGAAACTCTGACGACAATTCATAACATATCTCAACTAACGATGGAACCTCTCCTGATATCAAATGGCTTTTCGATCAAGGCAATATTCATGTGATGATTAATAGAAGAGTCTAGAATGGTTTAGTTTTTTGGATCTTCATCCCTGAGATATCGAAATTTTATTGGGTTTTTCGTCCCACTTAGATTACGTGGAAAATCGACTTTCGAATTCAAATGTGTATGAGCAATGTTATTAATGAGATTAGTTGATTGTGTAACTAGTATTTCGGTTCTGGAGATGTAAATCTATGAGGAAAATTTGCTTTAATACAGAAAAGAATTTCGAATATTCAATATTTGAGAATAGAAGATACTGAAAAATTTTATAATTTATCCAATCAATACTAATCTGAATAAGAACTTTGTTTCTGCAAAGTTCGAAGTCGATTTTACCTGACGGAGACAAAAAACTACACTTATAGATTTTTCTAGTACTTGTCAAATACAGATTTTCTCTATCGAAAAATTCCCTCATATGTTCTGTCTAACCAATGGAATGGGATAGAATGTCTTCATCATAGTTCATAAATTGAGTACAATTTGATATAGAAAAATGACGAAATATCTCAATTTTTGTATGAAATAGAAAATATATTCAAATATTCAGAAGTTTTTGCATCTTTTTGTTTCTCTTTTATTATTAGGGACTCGATTATTGTCACAGTATGGGTATCATGCATCGTGATGTGAAAGTAAGAAATTTTTTTCTTTTTTGAGTTTGATAAATAAATATTTTTTTTTTTAGCCTCACAATGTAATGATTGATCATGAAAATCGAAAAGTAAGAAAAAAAAAATCTAACTTTTGTTTGTTATTATTAATTTATATTCTATAAAAAAAAATTTAGTTACGATTAATTGATTGGGGTCTAGCTGAATTTTATCATCCAAATCAAGAATATAATGTTCGAGTAGCATCACGTTACTTTAAAGGACCTGAATTACTTGTTGATTATCAATATTATGATTATTCACTTGATATGTGGAGTTTAGGTTGTATGTTGGCTAGTATGATATTTCGTAAAGAACCATTTTTTCATGGACATGATAATTATGATCAAGTATGTTTGTCTTTTCTCTTTTCTTATCTACAGGGTGTCCCAAAAGTCCGTTGGAAAAGTTAATTCAAATATCTCTTATACGACTCAAGCAATTTAATCGATTTTTTTATAGTATGTTAGTATGTTCTTTAAAGTTTTGTTCTGTATATTTTTGGATAAATGTCTGTGCCTATAACTATTAGAATTAGAATAGTTCTATTAATGCCCAAATTTGAGTTACCTATCATTGTGAAAGGAAAAATGCAAGTCGAATTTGACATAAAAACGCTACACATGGACTGTGCTATTGCCGCTTTTCAAGGCCTTTGCGAAATGAGTATAGTAGTAAACAGACAACAATTTGAAAGACCTTCAAAAACTACAAAAGAGAAAATCAGCAAAGTTTATGATAATTGTGAAAATGTGCCACTATCAAGTGTTCGGGTTGTTGCAACAGCCTACTTCATTCCATGGACAATATCAGGACGAATTATCACTGAATATCATCTAATGAATCCATATAGAGTGTAATTTCTCCTATCATGTCATAGAGAAGATTCATAAGATCGAGTTGAAATTATATCACTTTGATACGCAAATTACAAAATATCCACAATCAGAAGAGCTCTTTTTTTTCATACAAGTCTCTTTTCATTTGAATGGTTTATTAACAAATATAAAGTAGAGACCTATATACATAAGATATATATATAAAGATTTGGTTGAATTCAAAATAAGAACCGATAACGAAACGAAATTAGCTCGAAAATAAACTTTCTGCAATTTTTTTTAGAGATTTCAAAAACGATGGATTTAGGTATTATACTTCATGGTAATCATTTTGAATATTTGTTGCAAACTAAATTATGTGAAATAAAACTTTAAAGAACATACTAACACATTATAAAAAAATCAATTAAATTGCTTGAGTTGTATAAGAGATATTTGAATTAACTTTTCCGACGGACTTTTGGGACACCCTGTATATAACAAACAATAATTAATAAGTCTTTTATTATTTATATAGCTTGTTCGTATTGCTAAAGTACTTGGTACTGATGAACTTTATGAATATCTTGAAAAATATCAAATTGAACTTGATCCACGTTTTAATGAAATTCTTGGACGGTAAAAACAAAAAAAAAAGAGGAAAAAAATGTTTTTCTTAATGATTTATATTTTTAAAGACATTCACGAAAACGATGGGAACGATTTGTTCATTCAGAAAATCAACATCTTGTTAGTCAAGAAGCACTTGATTTCTTAGATAAACTTCTCCGTTATGATCATAATGATCGTTTAACAGCTAAAGAAGCTATGGATCATCCATATTTCTGTATGATTAAAATATTAATTGCAAAACAATAATAATGTTTTATTTATTTATTTTCTTTATTCAGATCCTATTGTCCGTGATCAAGGTCGTCCAATGAATGCAACTTCTCAAGCTATGCTCTCGAATAATGGTATATGAAAACATTTTCTTGATTTGTTTTATTTTTTTTTTATCAAATTTTGAATTATATTCAGCTGGTGCCTCGATATCTTCAATTAATTCTTCGTCGCCGCTTAATGTGAACAGTAGCGTATCGACGAATAATCAGTGAACGAAATAAAAAAAAACAACATCCATCATGACTATGATTTCATACTGCTATAAGACAATTTGTCTTTGTTGTTCTTCTTTTATTTTGTAGCAGTGTGAATATTTACAAGGAAATATCAAACATTAATTTATCTATGCAGGACGATGGAATATGACATATGCCATATGAAAATAACTTGTTCATCTATGTTATATATATATATTTTTTTTCAACGATCGATCATATGGATCTTCTGTGTTTGTTCTTCTTTCTATAGTTTAAATGTTACAAAAAAAAGCATTTTTTTTTTCTTCGTTAAATATGCACCAAAAAAACCTAACTAAACAAGAAATCTCGTGATTGTCTCAATTCTTTGTAGATTTTATTTTAAAAAAATGTCCAATTATCCAGAACAAAATGAACCACCACCAGATGTTGGTCATGATGATGATGACAATAATACTAATACGAAAAATGATGACTCAATGTTTGTATCAGCTATATCACCAGCAACAGTTGATGTATCATTAAGTGGTGGTGAAGATGATGATGAAAACCCATTTGGATCATCTACAACGAGAGAAAAAACACCAACAAATACAACAAATACTGTTGAATCATATGTTGATAATGAAAAGAATTTATTTCAACCAGATAAAAAAACGGTTAAAGTTGATGAAGAGGATAAAGATTTATTTGGAGAGGAAAATACAAGCTATAATCAACAACCATCTGATTCACCTTCAGTACCTATTGTTGTACCAGAAAAACAACCATCAACACCGGTAAACGAAGATTTCATGTTATTTCAACTAATTCAAATTTTCATTTATTGTAGCCACCAACACCAATAAAACAGGAGACTTCATTATATTCAACTGACTCAAGCGTGAATGCAGGACAACCTCTACAAGCAAATGTACCGTTTGAAAGTCAGCTTTCATCATCGACACCAACATTGAAGAGTGTTCTAAGTGAACCATCAACAGACAGTAAACCAGTACAAAAACGTTCGCATGAAAATAATATTGAAATTACTGTTAGTGATCCTACAAAAGTTGGAGATGTGAGTTAAACTATTTCTTTTTCTCTTTCTCGATTTTGTTCATGTTATATATTTACAGGGTATGTCATCATATTTAACTTATCGTATAACAACAAAAACAACATTACCAATGTTCAAAAAATCGGAGTTTTCAGTTCAACGACGTTTTAGTGATTTTCTTGGTTTACATGCTAAACTTGTTCATAAACATTTACATGTCGGTGTTATAATTCCATCACCACCTGAAAAAGATTCTATATCAATGGCAAAAGTTAAAATATCTAAAGATGAATCTATACCAACAGATTTTATTGATCGACGTCGTGCATTATTAGAACGTTATTTAAATCGTTTAGTACGACATGATAAATTAATTGAAGATTCTGATGTACGAGAATTTATTGAAATGCCTAGTGAATTACCTAAATCAACAAATACACAAGCATTAAGTGGTGCTGGTGTTTTACGTGCATTAACAAATATATCAAATCAAGTTACAAAAATAACAACAAAAAAAACTGAACAAGATCAATGGTTTGAAGAAAAACATATATTTATCGATGATTTACATAAACATTTAAAAAATTTATATAATCAATTTAATACGTTATTTTCACAACGTAAAGAAGCTGGACATGCATTAAAAATTTTTTCAATATCTCTTAATCATTTAGCTACAACTGAAGAACATCCATTATTATCAAGTGCATTAATAGAATTAGCTAATCTTGAAGAAAAATTAGATCAAGTTCATAATGAACAAGCTTTACAAGAATATTCAATACTAACTGAATTAATAAAAGAATATGTTTCATTATTAGAAATGGTTCAATTAGCGTTTCATGAACGTATTAAAGTACATCAACAATGGTTAAATGCTGAAGAAACATTAAAAAAAAAACGTGAAACAAAAACAAAATTAGAACAATCACCAAAAAGTGCTGATAAATTACCACAAGCGGAAATGGAAATACGTGACTGGGTAGGTAAAGTTGATCGTGGTAAAGAAGATTTTGAAAAGATATCAACAACAATTAAACAAGAAATGGATGTATTTGAACAAACACGTATTGATGATTTTAAAAAAGCAGTTGATAGTTATTTAAATGATTTATTAGAAGAACAAAATAAAATTTTACAAATTTGGGAAGGTTATTTACCTGAAGCAAATAAAATTATTGTGTGATTTAATTGTTCTTTCTTCCAAATGATAAAATGTGATTATTTTTATTTCTTTTTTAATTGTTTGTTTTATTTTTTAGTTCAATCTTTTTCATGCATTTTTACGTTAATATTCTCGAGTCATATCGCATTGAAATTTTTAAGCAATGATTATTTTTAATTGATTTTGTTTAAAAACAAAATTACTATTTTTTTGATTGATTTTATTTTGTATTTTATTTAAAAAAAAATATAGAAATGATGGTTTAATTTGTAGATACATTTGATTTATTCATGAATACTATATGAATAACTTTTCGTTCTAAACAACATCCTGTTTCTAGTACTGTTCATTTTAAATTAGCAAATACTGTAGATCAACTAGGTCTTAAACAAACAGTATATGTATTTGTCTCATCATCAATTGTTTATATGATTGTTGGTGTTTAAGCCCGCACTGGTGATCCAGTAACACTTGAATGCCGTGCACAAAGTAATTCATCTGAATTATTAATGTGGATACAACAAGGACAAAACATATTTAACATCATATAGTGGTGCATATATATTATGAAAAGTATTAGAATGATTATTGTTATTGACATTAATGTGTTGCTGAAGAATTATATAAATAGGTACCATGTTTAATTTTTTGATCGAGTTTTTATATGCGATCAAATTATTACTGTACAAATATTAAATATAAAGGCTGATGCACAAATAACAAATTTAGATAAAGCATATACAATAAATGTATTACCAATGAAAGTTTTGCAGGGGAAAAACAAATGTTGCTACTGATTCTATTGATATTTGTTAAGCAGGGGTCGATTGAAAATTAACAAGGCGGAACGAAATAATTTCGGAACACATACTGGAATGATTATGGATGAAAGTAAATGGCAAGGAAGAACATGAACAGAATTAAAACCAAGTTTTTATATTTGATCATTTAATAAATCAATGTCATTTCATTATTTTGATATTTTTAGGTTTGATTGTAAAGATGTTTTCTTTTATTGATTTCTTTAGACAATTTTTTATTGTATATATTCATATATGTTTGTTTTTATATAAGTATTGTTGTAATAGTACAAATATAGTTAATTATTAATAAGAAAAGATCTTGTTTTGTCTGTAAAAAGATTAAAAGTAAGAAATTATTTTTAATATAATAAGCGTAGAAATGAAAGAATAGTCAATGTTGATAAATCCTATTCTTTAGACAATATGAATCAATTAGTTGAACAGAATTTATCAAATTTAGTTCAAGAATTAACTACATCTGGTTCAAAAGCATTAAATGAACAGAAAATAAAACAGCTTAAACAGATTTGCAAGTAAGTGATTTATTTATTCAATTCAATAGATGATTTATGCTATATAAACTGAACGCAACTTTTGATAAAACTTCAAATAATAAATTAAATAATGAAAAAAATCTGTTAGCGCAATCCTTACGGGATAAAATTGTAAAATACAATATAGCTGTTGTTGTTAATCATAGAAAAATTGTTTTATTCTATCTATTCTGTGACACATACTTCATCATTCTTTTATGTAATCCTTCAGAAATGCAGTAACGAAACAGGTCATATATTATAACGAGACATTACTGATAAACGGTCTTTAATTGTATATTAATCATGTTTGTCAAGGTCTGTAACGTGCGGAATGTTGATAAGATGTCTGTAACATATGTGCCGAACTCTACCGTATATACTTCAACATTCTGTTTAAGTCATGTTTCCCGATAAATATGATCCATGTTTACAAAATATCTTGAAAGTTTTAGTTTCAAATCAGATTTACTTGTCCTGACAGCAGCGTTATTCATTACTTCTTGAGGAGATTTTACGAAAAATATTTTTGAATATTTAGTCGGAGGAAAGTGAACATTGAAATTAATAAATAAAATCGTAATTTAATTATTCCATTGATTTCTTATCAAAATCGATATGCAACAGAGAAGTCGTCGTTTCAAAGAATGAACAAACTATGTAGACCTCTATCAGTCTTATTGAGTCCTGCAAAATATAAACTGGATCATTACCTGTCTGTATTAGACATTATAACTCATTAAGATGAAATCTTTGTCTTTATTTAATAAAAGTATTAAGTATTAAAAATTTGATCACTTTCTCACCAACTATGTTTGAGTCGTTCCATACGCATCTTAATTTTAGAATCCTGTTAGGCAGTTCCAAATCCCAAAAAAAATCTATTTAACTGGTATCGTAGAACAAGCAAGATTCAGAACTTGAAAAGAGTTTGTTCCGCAGAGCTCTAGAAGATATGCCCATGATGGCGCTGTCGCAACAGCATCAACTACGTGAAAGAAGTTTTAAAGATACTATTGTGACAACGATGTAGCAGCTTTCTTTTTTAAGAAGATAGTAATCTGAGTGTCTACAGGTTAAACAGTCAGAATCGTGATGTATCTCACAGATTCAATCGAACTGCTAATTTAGTACAGTGACGGAAGGAATTTTTCAAGAATTTCTCGCGAATAGTTGCGGTAGCGGTAAGATTCTAGCCACAATAAACATATATGGACTTTAGTTTACGATTCTCATTTTAATTTTTTCATTGAAAGGCAAACTGATGTCAATGTCGAGTATTGTTATCGGTTATTAATTGCTCAACTTGATAAATATCATGCGGAAATTCGTTATTCAACCGTTCAAATAATTGATCAACTTTTTAATCGTTCCCATCATTTTCGAACACTTTTACTTGATGATTTTAATTATCTTATTGATAAATGTCTTGGTAATTTTTCACGAATAAATAAGTTTGTCTTGCTTTTTTAATTAACTAAGTATTCAGGATTAAATGTTGATAATCAATTACCACCACCAAATGCAACAGCGAAATTATTAAAACAATTTACAGCAATGTGCATTAAAAAATGGCATGAAAAATTTGGTACAGCTTATAAATTACTTGACATTGGCTATAATTATTTAAAAAATTGTAAACTTCTAAACTTTAATAATATTGATGAACCTATCGGTATCACAGCTCAATTACAACGTGAACAGAACGAAGCTCATCAAATTCGTCTAACACAAAAACTTCAAAATGCTATTCGAGAATTAAATGGTTTGTTTCAAAGTTTTTTATAAAAAAAAAAATATTTTTTTATTTATAATTCATAGAAACATCAAATGAAATTTATTCTTATATAGAACAAGCAGAAAATTGTCTTAATTTACTTGTATCTAATAATGATAAAATACCGCTTCCGACAACAACTTCAAAACCAATCCAAGAAATTGATGATAACGAGGATGTTGATGATGATGACGATGATGATGACGATGATTTTATAGATGTTCCACTTGTATCAACAAAGAATAATGATCAAGAACTTCTTCAAGTACTTGGTCTAGGAGCGGCAGGAAAATTAAATATCACAATTAATGTTAATGACAGACCAAAATCATCTTTATTTAATGTAGAAGTAACAGATGATAATCGTACAGTAGTTGAAAATCTTCATGATCTTTATCGACAATTAAATGATGTTTATTTAAATAAAATTCAAGCATGGATGAATATTTTCATTAAAGTTCAACAAAATTCTAATGAACAACAAACAATAGCAGTTATGAAACGAGCAATTGATTTAAAAAATTCAATTCAATCTTGTTTAAAAATGATTGAAAATTATCATTTAGCACCAAAACGAACTATGCCGACACAAAAACCAGGTTCTTTGATAATCAATAGATGTACCGTGGTTCCTAAAATTATTCGATCAGGTTTATTTATAACTTTTTTCCGCTGCTGTCAAGGCTAGGAATCCTAGAAAACATGACTTGAGTACAGATCTTCATTTTCCAACAAGAAATTTTTTTAAAGATAAAAATAATTGCCTATTTTCTGAGGGAAGAGTCCTTGAAAAACATAAAACCAAGTTTTTCACGTGATAGGATTTGCGATCACAATTTTGTTTGAGTCATCCTGAATGATACAACAAACAACTATCTACAAAATGAAATACTTTTCAGCTCTCTACGCTACATGTTTGTATCAAAATCCATCAAATCCATGGAAGGCGCAAAAATGATCTCCTCGTACGGAATAACAGAAAAACCAACTTTTGCGCCTTCCATAAAGTTTTTGTATCTTGATCAAAAAGCGTTTTAGAGAACTATTTACTCTATCATTTTGAATAACTGAACCAGAGTTGTGATTGTAAATTCTAGGCTCTGAAAAACTTAAATTCTAGTATTACAGAGAGCTTTTTCTAAGGAAACTGGGAATTATTTTTTTCTGTAAAAAATTCTTGTTAGAAATAAAATTCTCGACCTAAATCATTAGTTCACTTTTTGTAGAACTCAAAAATATTTTCCAAAAAAACAACAAGTATAGGTTTCAAGTCAAAGTCTTGCAGCTACTTAGCTCCTCTCAATAACAGATGTTAAAACCAAGGTTAAACAGCTATTCTTTTTCCATCAATATTTTCTGCTGAATTGATCACCCATTTATATTTCTTACAAATTTCATATAACCAACATAAAAATGTGAACTGTCGGAGTTCTAAATTTTGGGAATAATCAATATCAGCATTTCTGAGTTCATTAAGACATATAAGAAAATGCAACAAAATTTTTATTCGAAATGTAGTTATAAAAAAAGACAGCGTTTGTTGTCTGTCAATTATCGTTCGATAAGAACTACCGTCTTATAAAGATTCTACACTTGGTGTATTTTCTATTAGTATACTGAGGCTAATGAAGTCATGTGAGTTGCACATTTCGATTTCAAAGTGACTGTGCTAACAAGCTGCTTTTTAGCGTGTACGACAGCGGAAAAAATTGAAAAGAAATCTGATCGAATCATTTCGACGACGGTGGTATATTCATCTATGTGAAAAATGTTTGAAATATTTTAGCTCCGACGCCTAAAGTTGCATCTGTACCTGTACCTCAAAGTTCACCTATGGAATCGGTATGTATGATTTTTCTTGGACCGATTCTATTAGCAGACTCACTTGCTTTTATAGAACATTGGTACGTCATAAGAAACTGAATCCAAGAAGAAATAGCAAATCTCAAGACTTTTGAAGCATACTATTTCATATTTGCTGATTTCATTCTTGACATAGACTTTAAAATAGATACCTTTCCTTAATACACTTTAATTTTGAAATCTTTGGATCTTTTGGATAGCAGTTGACTAACAGCTTATGTCGAAAATGCATTAATAATAGTTTCCATGGAGTTTCATCTTCTCTTGAAGACAAAATATCTTTCTTGATACGTCTGATCTTTATTTTTTTTACATTCTATTATGAATGGAATATAAGTGTTAGTGACCATAGGTTTGTTTGATACGTTTTTAAAAGATCACTCATTTAATTTTAGGCAACAATACCAACATTAACTGAAGATGAAATAAAATATTTCTTTCATGATGATTCCGAATGTATAAAACGTACTTTTATTCAACATGATGTTCAAAATGTTTTTGTACGTCCTACAGAAAAAAATGACGTGCCTGAGGTAAATAAAAGGTTTGAAATTAACTTCTTTGAATGATTTTTTACTAGAGTTTAAATTATTCTATATTAATGCGTAAACGTACATTTGTCAATGAATTACCGGCCATTAAATGGAAATGTCGAGCCCCATTAGGTAATGATAAATTATGTGAACGTATGGATCGATATAAATGTCCGTTTCATGGTCGAATTATTGCTCGTAATGAACAAGGCCAAGCCGTTGATGAAAAAATTCGAATTCAAGAAGAACAACTTGCAAAAAAACGTACTACTCCTGAGTGGCAAGATCCTGAAATGTTAGAAGATATTCGTTTAGCAACTGGTATTGATTTACGGATGAATGAAGAAAATAAAAAGAAGAAAAAAAAGAAAAAAGAATCTGGTTTAACTGAACTTGGTATCGAAGAAAATACAGTACGGAAACGATTAGAAAAGAAATTATTTAATCGGTATACAAAAAAGAAAATTCAATTATTTTAGTATTGTTTTTTATTTGTTTAGCTCATCACTTAAACGTATTGGTGCAGCATTAGATCGTGATGAACGACGTCGAAATGAAGAGAAATTTCATCATCAATTTAACTATGCTTGTAATAATTAAAAAAAAATTATATTTTCTTTTTTTCTTTGTTTTATTTTTTTCTCTGTAAATAATTAAAATTAAAGAGGTCCGAGTGTATAAATATCATTATACCATCCATTATCATGCCATCCACCAAATAGCCACATATAACCATTATATAAAACTGCACTATGTCCTTCACGAGCTGCTGGTACATTTGATTCTAGTTTTAATTGTTTCCATTGATTTGTTTGAAGATTAAGAACAAATAATTCATTACTTCGTTGTATACCAACATAACCACCGAACATATAGAGATTTGCTTCCGATAATATACATGTATGACGACCACGTTTAGCTGGAATAACACGTGAATCATCACTATATTTCAATTCTGTCCATTCTAATGTACGAAAATCAAATGAATGACAATCATTAAATTTTCCACAACCTAAACCACATACTATATATAAACGATCGTTATAAATATGTGCGCCACCATACGAACTACGACGTGGTGGTGGATTTCGTTGATTAACAACAGACCATTGATTTGTTTTAAACGAAAAACGATACATATCATTAAATTTATTATCGCCAATACCACCAAATAGATACATATAATTTTGATAAATAGCAACAGAATGTGCACTACGTGCACGGGGTGGATTTGAACAAGGAACAACTTCCCATTCATTTCGATCAAATATATATCGATACATGTCATTCAATTTACCTGAAGAATCCCAACCACCAAAAATATACATCATAGTTTGATATATACAAGCACTATGTTTACATCGTTTTGATGGAACTTTTGATTCATCAATAGGTTTTATTTCAGTCCATGTACGAGATTCAAAATCAAATTTAAATAGATCATTAAAACGATATTCACCTAAACCACCAAAGATATACATAGAACCATTATAAACAACAGCACTATGTCCACTACGTGCTTGTGGTGGAGAATTTATTATTTCAATTCGAGACCATGCAAGAGATTCATTCGTCGACGACATCACTTTTTAAAAAAAAATTCCTTTTTTTACTGCTTATTACACTTTGTTTTCTTGGTTCACTATGATTCATTAAAAAACTTCGAGTGCTTGGTTGTGAAAGAACAGTAGAAAAAAAAAACAAGTATGTGCTGTAACGATCATTCATTTAAATTTCTTCGTTCTTTTATTCATGCATTCGTTAGCAAAAAGAATCGGACGGATGCTGCAATGTCAGTCAATGCTTAAGTATATTTTTTTTAATAATAGCATTCATCTCAAATATATCTCTTTTTTTTGCGCATTTAAGTCAATAAGCATTTTCATCATCCAATGATTTACTACGTATATATGAAAATGAATTATGATTTTCGTTCATAATCAATGACTAAAACAAAAAGAAAATGCCTAATTAAAAAAAACTTCTAAATAGAAATTTTTTCACCATTTTTTCGTCTCTTGCTGGTGGATTTCGTAGATAGAACAACAGAGGTGCATAGCATAAACATATAAGTGAAATAATATAAAGCATAGCACGGAACCCAAATGCATGTACAATAAATCCACTTAAAGCCGGACCTTTTGTATAAATAAAAATTATAAAAATTTCTCTTTCAAAAAAAAAACATCAATGTTTGTACCAATAGCATAACCAAGACAAAATGCAACATCGGCAATAGCATAAACACTTCCATAAACAGATGCATGACGTATATCAACAAGATAACCCATTGTAGGCATCATTGATGAATCAACCATACCAATAGCAAAGCCTAGAAGACCATTAGGAATAATTAAACCATAGATACTTGTAGCCATTGGTACGCCAATCAAAGCAATTGAAATAAGAAATAAACCGATCATACAGCACAGCCAACTGAATTCAAAAGTAAATTTTAGATAAAAAAAATTCTTAAACCTTACCGTCCCATTTTGTGAGCCATTGGTCCGAAAAGATTTGTACCGATTAAATATGAAATTGATGCAGGTAAAAATGCAGCTCCTAGAGTTTTGCTTCTATATACTAAATTTCAATTTAATGAACTATCAAACCTTGTTGGAATTCTGTTGCTCTCATTGTTGACATCATCCATATTGGTAATGAAGGTTCCATCATAGCAATACCAATATTACCAAATGAGATTGCACCTAAATTTTTCAAACAAAGACTTCTATACAAAATATATCTTTTTGTTATTTACCAGCAGCCAAAAGAATATATGGATCTTTAATAAGTGTTTTTAATGAAGCTCCTTCAACAGGTTCACTAGATACGCCAGGTTTCAATACCGTTAATTGCAATACTATCGATTGGAAGAAACAACTATAGAAAATCTTCCGGAAAGAAAATCATTCTTACATCCATCAAATAAACCTAATGTAGCCAATACTAAAAATGGTGATGCTTTGCCTACATATTCATACATAAATCCTCCAAATGGTGGCCCAACTATAATAAACAATTGATTAGTAGTCATCATGCGGATAGCATAACTTACTGAGTACACCGAGGGCTAATCCACCTAAGGCAGTACCCATGGCTTTTCCTCGTTCTTCATCTTCCGGATATCGATCAGCCAACATACCGAGACCTATAAGAAATCTACATAAACTATCTGATAGTTTTTTTCCTTTACCTGATACACTTGAGCAAGACGATCCGACACCTTGTATAGCTCGAGCAATGAATAAAAGGCCAAAACTTTTACTAAATGCAAATACTAAAAGAAAAAACATAAACAAACATTTTTTCTTATCATTGAAACCTTTCATAGTATATAGACATACTAAGAGTCGATATAAACATAATAATAAAACCTGAAAACATTGGAATGCTATAACCAACGCTAAAAATAACAAAATAAAAATTTAATATTCAGTAATATTAGGTTCATTTTTCTTTTACCGGTTTGTTAATGGACCAACAAATGGATTTGTTAACAATTGAACAAAAGCTTTCGATGCAAACATTATACCAACCCATTGATTTTCCTTCGAAGAAGATAAACATTTTTTCTCTTATTTATGTACTTCTATTTATTATCATCAAGTTTACTTTTTCTAAAATAGTGTTTCGTTGTTTATTTTCAATTTCAGTTTTATTCATTGCCCAATCAACAGTCCAATTACAATATGTTTTAAGAAATTGCTGAAATGCAGATGGATTTCGAGCAAAATAATTTCGTCGTAGTATTATTCCATTATTTGAGCAATTTTTTGCTAAAAATTTATAAATATCATTATTGTAGATTTTTGGTTGTTGAAGATGATAAAGATAATCAGGAACTATAGGAACTGAAGTTACAAAAAGAAAACAAAATATAGAAATTATATTTCAATAAGATTTATATTCAACTTGCCAACAGTTGTTAGAAGCATATTGTCTAGAAATAAAGCGACAAATACAATGAATAAAATAAGTACACGAGATGAACGCCATTTTTGCCAGAAGTCTTTTACTGATTGAAGACGTAGATGGTCCATTGCTTTTTATTTTTAACTAAAGATAAAAAAATCGTTGTAATGATAAAGATTCCGATTGATCTCGTTTTTTTTCTAATATATTATTCTAGATCAGAAGCTTTAAAACAAAAGCTAATAATATAGAACAAAATATATTCAAGTGGTTTTAATATATAGATAAAGAATGAGAATAAAAAAAAGAGAAAATAGCGGAAAATAGAAAATCCCTATTGATGAGTATTTTATTTGAAACTTTATATTTTTTTCTTGTAATCGATAGATGAACTTCCAGTAAGGCCATAAATCTTATTTAAGTTACAGTAGACGGCAGCTCTTTTTCTTTCTTTTTTTTCTCCGCCAAAAATGCCGTTCAATGTGTTTATCGATATAATTGCTTGTCTTTGTTCTCTGCTACATTCATAAACCATCATAATCATACATTAACATTCAATCATTCTTTTGTTTCAATCTATGATTATGTATATATGAATTCATTGCAAGAAAAAACTATGAAATACAAACCTTAAAACACAACTCCAAAGATAACTAAACGAGTTCACAGAGAAATTCTTTTTTTGATATAATATGTAGTATTAGTAGACAAAGACGTTAATGAATGTCATATATTTTTTTTGATAATAGAAAATAGGCACAGAGAAGCGAAGAAAGAAAAAATAGTCATCAAGTTTTTCTCTCTTTTTTTCTAAGATTGAGCGGAGACCATAAATGCACATATGTAAAAAGCAATCGTTACAAAAAGCATCTGCTCAACATCCTTAACGAAAGAAAAAGAAACGAGTGATTTATTTTTTTTTCATACTCAAAATCTGTTTTCTAATCACGATGTTCGTCAAAAAAAAGAAAAAAGACTATAGAAATAAATGATCTAAATTAACAAATCACGGAATGTCGTTTTCTGTTTCTTTTGTAATCTGATCACAAATATGTCAACCGAATCACTGATATATCAAACAACAATAATAAGAGAACTCTCATGACAACTTTCTTCAATTAGCATATCATAAAAATCAGTCGTCTTCAAAATGACATTGATGATGCATATGTCATGCAAGAGATACGAGATTAATAGACAAAAACGAATATTTTTTCATTAAGTATAATCGAAAAGAAGAACGACATATAATTATGTACAATATAAGGAGAAACTAAGTATTATTGTCATGAAATGAATAAGAACACTTGTACCACCACAAATAAATGTTATAATAAGTGACGGCATTAAATTTGTTGCATTTGTTTTTGATAATAAACTGTATTCATATTTAGACTATAGAAATAAGTTAAAATTTACCGATAATTTCATATGAAAAAAAAAATAATAATAAACTCACCCAATAAGTAATATATGCTAAATGAGTGATTTGTATTATTGCTAATATGTAAAAAATAGTCCATACTAGCCAATGACGAGATTTATTATTAGCCTAAGTTACAAAAATTCAATTATTATAAAACAACAATAACAGCAACCACGATAAAAAAAGAACCATTTCTTTACCAAAAGTTTTCCCATTAAAAGCCATAAAAAAATAAGTGGAATTCCAATAAATAGTATAAGCATTTGATATCGACCAAAATCTGCTTGACTACGAATATTCAGTGTTAATAAAGAAATCTACAAAATAAAATTTTCTCTTATAATGTTCTCCTATATCTACATACAATTAACATTGAATCGAAGTTTAGAAACCAAGAAAATATTGCTGTTCGAGAGCACATGGTTGCTGTTTTAGTATGCATTTGCTTTGAATGTGTTATAAGACCCGTCCATGGTATTAATATAATCAACATAATCAATACAAAACCTAATCGAAGCTAAGAAGAAAACAACAACGTGATGTCATCAACAATAGTAATTATTTCCTTACAGTAATAATATTAAAATCATCTTTCAAATGATAACGATGATGATCAAATGAAAAACGAATATAAAAATGTACACCAGTATATGCTGATAGAAGTATAACTGTTAAAGTTGTTAAAAGACCATCAGTAAAACCTTGATGAAAAGAGTTGCGACTCTTTTTTTTTGTTGATTTATATTTCATAAAACTTACGATAAAATAAAGCTGTTGCAACCATAGAAAAAATCACACATCCTAACAAAATAATTTTAGATAAATTTAATTTTATATAAACAAACCTGAATGAACAAGAAGTAAAAGACATATAGCAAATTCATTATTATCTCGTTTCATCGTTCGAATTTGTCCAAGTGTAAGAAGAATAATTGGAATCATGGTTATAATTCCTATTAAAACATAGAACCATCTTTGTAACATGAATTTTTTATTCATCAACTTTTCTTGTTCGTCTACGACAGGTTTGTAACTCATATTATTATGAAAATCAAAATACAACAATAACACACAACTTCTTTCTATTCAATCTTAGTGGGTTCATGAACAAATTGATCCTTTCTTTATCTTCATTCATACAAAGTACGTGTCATTCAATACAACATATATATATATATAATAGAATGTTTAATGGATGAAAGAAAAATATTTCTTTCAATGTCAAATGTTTACTAATTTGAATAACTTCCTTTCGTCGATATGAGAAAGATAATTAGACATTTATGTTTATATTTCTTTAATAGTTATTTTTTTAATGAAAGATTATGCATGCAGCACACAAATGAGAGTAGGTTGATTGTTACTCTGTTATTTTGTTTTTTTGTTTTGAACGACTGTTTTTTGTTGTACACATTTACTCTATTCGATAAAACTGTGAATAGAATAATTATCGACAGTATCAATATAATTTGTCTTAGAGAGCTGTGGGGTACTTCAGACCCAAGTCCGAGTTCAGAATTTTACTTTTTTTCAGATCCAGATTCACATTTTTGTGGGCTCGCAGTTTTCTATTTTGTATAGTTTATAATGAAATTAATGACAGTTCGAGGAGTTCATGCATTTATTTAAACTGTTTTCAAAGATAAAAATAGACTGATGCAATGATAATATGCGAGTTATTGATCGTATCATTGACGTTGTCAATTTTGCAAGGATAAATTTGGTGAAGAGAGTTTTAAACGTCAAGTTCAAATTAGTTACTATTAAAACGGCGATAGAAAAAGTACACATATATTAGTTTCTTACAGGAAACTCTAGTAAGTCATATTAATATATCAAATGAAAACTCTTACAAAGTACTTTTACACAAATTGTTTAAAGACTAAATCATTGCAACGTATTGATCACAAAAGGGAGGAAATAACAACATCACGGTTCGACTATGAGACTAATACTGTTAAATTTCGTCATATAAAAACAACATAAACTAACTCAATACATAAGGCTGAGAAACCGAAGTATTCGTGACTGATTCAAAATCAGATCTAAGACGTGTACTTCTAATAAAATTTAAGGATTTCTTTTGTAATTCCTATGCCGTTTGAATAACTTTATGCTGAATAGATGCATTTTGTTCTTCTTCTTGACGACTACAAAATGCCCATCTACACATTTCTGATATGAACTCCGTTCAACAGAAAATTGTGTTCAAGTACGGCAAATTACTTGTAATTTTAAGTAACATTTACAATTTTTTCTATTTTGTGTTAAAAGATTGAACGAATAGTTGTCTACCACTTTCCATAGCAGATGACAGCAAGCAAATTCAACTTATTGAGTTTATGTTTCATACAAAATGTAAAGGTATTACTGAAAGCGTACACAAAGCACAATACAAATAGCTATTCCAGCTCTGTTGTAAATGAAATTGAAATTTAAAAAAAATTCCATCGACACACCGTGTTCTTACGTAATTTACTAAAGTGATCATGCACCAAAAGTTTTTTTATATCTCAAGATTGATTTACATACAATTAGCCGCATTACTGTCACACTAGAGATCATCTCAGGGGAAGAAAAAGACCTACCCTACGTCAACATCTCGTGTGAATTAGACAATGTCACAAGACGCTTGCTCTGCATATAATCTATGCCGTCCTACATGGGTCCTACGTATGCAGGAACAAGGCATTTTTTGGGAGGTGTCGGATGTGAAGGATAATATTTGAATCCTACAGGTCATCTCGGTCACCTAATTGGTTGTGATTCAATGGAGTTTTGATCTAGTAGTGGAACTAGTCGTGATTTCCCTTAATTATGAATAGCAACTAAAAGAGTATACGTCATAACAACGATTAGTGCATCGGTGGAAAGACTATATAGTAGTGTCCTGTGGGAACGACTTTTTCTGATTCACATTCCCTAAAAAAACATTTTTGTTCCCATTCCCTTTTTCCCATTTCCTAAAAAAAATTTTTTGTTCCCATTCCCACGTTCCCATTCTCATAATTCCCATAAGGTTTTTCAAGGCTCTATTCATCTATGCGAAAGTGTCATTGACATATATGTTTACCAGTTTCTTGAGACATCACATTTTGCGCATCGTGACGTTGTTACATAGTGCTTCACTTCTTTTCTTTTCCTGTTTTGTTGTTCTTGTTGGCATTGGTTAAGCAGGTGTTCCTTTTCATTAAAAAAGTGTTCCATCGTCTAATTAGGAAATGTATAGTCAACATAGTGTTCATCATATAGAATGTTCCTCTTATAGTAAAGTGTTCCCCTCCCCTCACCCAAATAGAAAATTAAAAAAATTACAAATAAATATTGAGATTATTATTGATAAATCATTTATTTTTTGTTGTAAATAACCTTAATATTTATTTATAATTTTTTTTATTTTCTATTTGGGGGAAGGGAGGGGAACACTTTACCGTAAGAGGAATATTCTCTCTATATGATGAACACTATGTTGACTATACATTTTCTTATTCGACGATGGAACACTTTTTTAATGAAAAGGAACACCAGCTTGAATGTATAGTGCATATACGAAGGAACACCTGCTTAACCAATGCCAATATTTGTGATGATTAAATTACGATGTGGTTAAGAACAAATAAATAGTCTATTTTTTGTTGATACACATTTGTTATTTTTCTGTTACCCAGGTGATTCGATCCGACTGTCGGATTACGTCGGATTATATCGGATTATATCGGAAAAATTACCGGATTTTAACGGATCCGACGGGAACTCGTCGGAAGTTGTCGGCGTCCTAGCCACAGGATTCCGACAGGAGGTTCCGGATGTCGGAATAATCAGGATCCTGCGAAATCCCTGAAACTCCGACACTTTCCGACATCCAGAACCACTTGTCGGAATCCTGTGGTTAGGATTCCGACAAATTCCGGCGAATTTCTATCGGATTCGACAGGGTGAATTCGACCTGGGTAATTGTATATGAATAAGAAAAGTTATTGAAAATAAACAGTTATCAGATAGAAATATTTTTATGTGTATTGAAATAAGATAGAAAGAATTTTGGGAACGTCAATTTTTAATTCTGTTCCCATTCCCATGTTCCCATTCCAATGGGAATGGGAATGGGAAAATTAGAGAAAAAAGTCGTTCCTGCAGGACACTACTATATAGCTTATCTGGATTGATATTTACTCAAAGACAAACACGTTCATCATCAAGTCAAAATGACAACATTATTTATTCATTGTTAGGAAAAGTTCAAGAAAAATCTATAAAATGCAAAGCTATCCTTTTCATTGTCCGTCTGTGGTATATGGATTACATTTTGGATCTTATATCTTTATGTTTATTTTAATTAAGTATATTGTTAATAATTTGTGTATCAATAGAAGATCTATGATACTTGACATTATCCCGCATATACAAACAAGTTTTATGTCCTTGTTACTAAAGCAATGAAAAGATTGTTCTACAGCTCGAATTCAGAAGGGTCCTCTGTTTTGCACGACAGGATGACTGAATGCAAACTTTGTGCAGACTGCAGAATTGGACAAAGAAAACTATCCCATGACGTTCTCAAGTGTAAATTGAATTGAACACAGAATAAATTCAAATACTTCTCATAAACATATACAATAAAACAACATATCTGCACCAGCCGAAGATGTCAACAACATTTGTTAGAAGATCTTTCTCAAATGGTTGATTGCGTTCTCTGTAAAAGCCAACAGTGCAAAATATTTTATTCTGTTATTATCTTTATGTCACACATAGTATTTTTATTTTGAATGTCATGAATAGAGAACTTAATAAAATATTTAAAATAGTTCTGAATAATCATGAATAATATTTATTTTGAAAATAAAAGAAACTTTTAAGCATAATATGTAAATAAGAAAAGCTCTTAGCAACATAACACGACATAAAAATGTTAATATTTCGAAGAAACTACTTCATCATTAGTTTTTGATACATCTACTGTCGCATGTCGAGTTTGAACATCTTCTTCAGCATCATCATCAATATATTTTAAAGTTTTATTTAAATTTTCATCTCCTTCTGCAATATTTGATAATTTAATATGTGCCGCACATATATGTTTAACTGCATCTATTGGATTAATATCTGATTCCTGTTGATTATTAAATGAAAAATTTGATACTGCTTTTGAATTGGCATTCAATTTTGATGTATGTATTGATTGATTTATATTTGTTGTTGATGTTGTATTAAATGTTGATGCAGTTGATTCGACTCCACTGTCTGTTCTTGCATAAAAACTTTTTTTAAATAAATCAAAATTTTTATCTAATGAATTTTTATCATTCATAAAATTTGATACAAGTTCTCCAACAACAACGACACCTTCATTTAATAAAGCACTATTCTTATATAAATTATCACGTGTTTCATCCAAACGATGTAATAATTCAATACGTAACATTTGAATATCTTGTTTGAGTTCTTCAAAATCACCTTCACGAATTTCTTCTTGTTCTTCACGTTGTTTATTTAAAAGAAAACGTTTTATAACACGATTCACTACTTTACGATAAGTTAATGTTTGATTTATATCAAAAGAACCTTCACGTGCTCGATAATTATTAGCATCACTTAAATTTACATTCGTTATTTGTCTACTAGTTACTGTTGGTATACCATTACGACCCAAGTTTGGTGTTCGACGAGCTGCTCCTCCTGTTTGGTTTGTTGGCGGTAAGGTATTATTTGTATCATTTGAATGTGATGATTCTCTATTAGAAGCTTTCAATCTTTTTATACAAGAAAATATTCGGCGAAATAAATAATAGACACTTTTTGGTGTTGGAATTATATTAAATGGAACTGGTAATGTTCCACCTAAGATTAAATAGAAGAAATAGTAGTAATGATTTACGTTAATTCAAAAAGAAAACAAAACAAAGAATATTATTAACAACTTGGAGATTTATAACTATATTAAATATGAATATAATATGATTAATTATCAGGATTTAGAAATCAGTTTAATGAAATCAACTCTATTTACTTTCTAAATAATAAAATTTTATCCTATTTTTATTTGATTACATTCACTTTTATAACTTTAAGATGGTTATTTTATCTCGAGTTGATTTAAATTATTGAAATGGAGTATAATGATGACGCGAGTTTATTGCTATTTGTATTTTATTCAAATGGATAAATTCTTTATATGAATTCATTTGTACCATTGTGAAATATTCTTAACAAAACATCAACGGTGAAATATAGACAAGCTAGTCTTGCTTATGAATAGAGTGCGCTAGATTGGTCTCTGGTTCGGATCTGAAAATTTTGGATCCAATGCATTGTAGTCATCCAAGAAATGTATCAGGTGCGCTGTTTACCAAATACAGAAAACCGATAAAAATCGTCTCATATTTCCAAAGTATTTATCTAGTGCTGCTCAGAAATATTCCATTGAAAATATCAAAATACGATTAGATTGGATCTCGGTCCGAAAATTTTAGATTCAACGGGCTCTACTCATGACTAATTGCACTCTCAAGAAGGACGATGTTAACAACTATATAGATATTATAACATAAGCAAACATCTATTTTGAGTTTAGTTTGCAAAACGAAAAAATGTCGGCTTCAAACAGGTCAATGCATCTTTAAATGCACTTATTGGTTTTTGAAAAATCGACAATATTTCAAATTTTAAACAATTTATTATCGATAAGACAAGAGCAAAAATTGCAGTAGATTTTAATGAATACATATTTATTCGTACAAAATGCTACTAGTCTCCTTTATCTATTGAATTCTTATCAAGAAAACTTTAATTATCTGATTATTTTACTATTAGAACTGCTCTGATCTTCGATCATCGTCCATGAATAGTTTAAACTTTTTTTCATTTATACATAGTCATCAACTTCAATAAATACAAGTAAACACTTTTGAATCCAAGATCTGCGACAAGTCACAGCACCACAGTGTGAGGCGACAACAACAAGTCATTGTCAAATTAAATGAATTTTTCTTGTCTTCTGACCATAAAGTCTTTTTCCTACGCTTGCGGCTAAATCTATAACAATGAGTATTTGTCATTAGGGTTTATTTTTGTATTTTAAAATAGTCTATATATATATTTGACGTCATAGGAATGATCTCGTGATCGTGACGTATGTTGATAACGAAGAAAATAGAGCCTGCACACATTCATAAATAACCATATTGTGTCGTATACAAATGTATATTGACTGCTCATATGGCTGAGTATTATGTTTGGGATCAAATATGAACTCATAAAATGATATATCGAGGAACATGTAGAAAAACTAAGATCATAAACAACCTCTGCATACAAAACTAAGAAGTGGGCGTTTTTTATTACTGTAAAGCATCGTATTTATTTATATGCAAAGCGTAAATATGTGATTGTAATCTCTAATCATGAAAAACACTGTATTTCTTGAAGCATAGTCATTGAAAAACCGTGCTTGTTTAACGTGGGTATTTGTAAAATTTGCAAAAAAAAACAGAAGGGTTACTGATTAAAGCACTTGTCTGATAAGTGGCAGCAGATATTTAACAAATGAACTGAGTAAATTTTGAGCTGCGTCACAAATTTCTGCTCTATATATCTATAGATAAAAACCTACGTATATAAACTTCACATTAAGAATAACAGCACTATTCTGTTTTTTTTTTCACATTTACATCATTTTATATAAATTTAAATCCTACCTTCTTTAATATATTCCATGTATAATTTACTGCGTGCAAATTTCCATTCGACATCTGCATGTTCTTCAATGGTTTCATAAGATTTTGACATCATAGCAATAAGCATATTAAGTAAAACAATAACATTTGCAATATTAAATGCACCGTAAATTAAATATCCAACTATTTCTGTAAAACGCTTATCATAATCTCCTAGTTCTACAGCTTCTTTTTCTGCTAAGCCAAATAATGACCAAAATACAGTTTTAAATGTTGTAGGCATTCTAGTTGAAAATAAAAAGACAAAATGAAATGTTTATTTAAATAAAAGAGAAGTTTTCCATTGTAACATACGTTCCAAAAGATTTTTCTGCTGCTAAATTTTCATCCGATGGATGAGTTTCTAGTTCAACTTTAGCTCGTACGGATTTTTTATAATACCAAAATAGATTATTTAAACCAAACATAAACCCACAGAAAATTATTAAAAATATTATAATAAATTTTCCAATATCCTTTAAAAGAATAACGATATAAAAAAGTTATAAAATATCCCTTTTTTGTCTATAAATACTAACAGACATCATTCGACCTAATGATATTTGTAATGGTCCCAAATGTTGAAATGCTGGTAGCAGAAAACAAATACGTGAAAAACTAAATATATTTGCGATAGCAAACAGTCCTTCAGCAACATTAATTGGATCTAATGAAACCCAATAGTACCGATCTACGATGAAAAAATTTTATTTTTTATAAATTAATATTTAATTCAAATTAAATAACTTCAATTACCGGCGTTCAACCAATAAAATGTACGATAAATATCCAATTGGTCGGATTTAGATAAGCTACATATGTTTTCGATTTTCGATTCAAAGGCATTATCACTTAATTTTTTAGTAGCATGTATGACCTATAATACATTGAAATCATGGATCAAAGTGAGTGTACTAATATATTATCTTGTATAACTGATAAATAGCATAAAAATCCGTCTTCTTATGTAAAGATCCATGTGACAGTTTGACTATTTCAATAACGCAGCAAATTTAGGAGCTATAAACATTTTGAAAAAAGGTATAGATTATAACCTCTCTTTAATGGACACCCATCTGACGTTTCAAAAGTGTTTAGTATAAGAAGGCTTGGTCTGTTCTACAAATAACTTTTTTTTTACAAAGAACACACGCTTTTAATATCTGAAGGATTTTAGTGAATAAAAAAATCAACTACTGATTCTTGTTACTTATCTTTTCGTGCACTTTTTTTCTTAGAAAATTAATAGTTATTAGAATATAGTAAAGTTTTTCCTGTTGTGGATACAATTGAGACTTTTCAAAAGTATAGATCATAGAATTAGATGACTATGCTTACTATGCAGAGGTTCAATGCTAGTGAAAATCAATTCGTTGGATTGCGGAGTGTCTACTATGCCAAGTTTTACTGTATATTGAACGAATTTTATCGTCATCGGTTGAGGAGGAACCATTCTTATTTAGAAGAGAAATTACCCGTTACCTGTTAAAGACGCAATTAGAAGTCAAAATGTACAATTTTAGTTCCAATCAGACGAACTGTTAAAAATATTCTCCACTTTACACTGTAGCGAGCTGTACTTTCACCCTTTTGTAGACTCGAACTCGAGATTGGAAGGATCCGCAACTCTCTAGTGAAATAATCTATTTTAACAGTTCATTAGATTCGAACCTGAGATTTGAAGGTAGTCGATTCCTAAAAGTGATATAATCAATAGTAATGATTTTCTTCTCTTACACTCTGTGAAATAATTTTAGAAATTTTTAAGTTATTTTTGAACATTAAATTGGAATTTCTTGAAATACAGTGAAGCTCTCGGTCTTGTTACTATGACATGGTTTAGCAAATTGCTTTGAATATTTGGAAAGTTATTTTTAACTATTTCTGAAATTAATCCGAAAACGATTTTTTTTCTTTGTCTTTCAATCAACAGTTCAATAGAGCATGCAACAAATGAAGTTATTTAAATTTTTGTGATTCGAATGGAAGATCTTATAATCAATGGACTTTTATTTCGAGTATTAACAAATGCTATAAATAGTAAACATAAGTGCAGTAGATTCACATAAATGATTCCTAGATAACTATATATTCATAAAAAAGAAATTCGAATAACTTTTCCTATTAAAAGTATCACGAAACTTTTACTTTTCAAATTAAAACTGTCTTATATTATTTCTTACTTGATAAATCACATAATATTTAAGTGCAAATGATGATAAATATAATATATTCATACATGAATCAACAATATTATTCCATGAAAGAAAATAATCTTGAAGACCATCATTATATGCTTGTTTAATTTCGTGCCACAGAAAACCTAAAAATATATTATAAAATTTGATTTTTCTTGTCTTTCTTTTTCTATTCTATAATCATTTACCGACAACAAAAACTGATATTGTGATATCAATCCATGTTGGTTTATTAGCCCGAAAGTAAAGATCATCGTCTGGATATATATCACAATCTTTTATAGCAGATGAATTATTTGCATTTGTTATTGATTGATTTAATGCTAATGATATATTTGGATGAAGAGTACTTAAACGTTTTGATTGGTTTTTCAATTCACTTGCAAATAAAAGACTTGAAACAATAATTAAAACAATGAATATTGCATATGATATTATATGACCAATAAATTTTATACATGGTTGTTGAAGAAATCGTTGAAGCTATAAATTCAATTAAAACATATATCATATAAAATACTTATACTCTTACTTTGTTTGTGTAATTTGACCATGAAGTTAATATATAGATTACACAAGCAAATGGTAAAATAAATATATATAAAATAATTAATAATAGAATAAGTAAAGGATTTAATTTGAATAGATTACGTATTTGACTATGCCAAATTTCGACTAATTTTTGTTGACAATTTGAATGTGCAACAAACTAAAAGAAATTAAGATATTTAATGGTCTGTCGACATTTTATTTCAATTACAAGATGATGGATATATGTGTTTTTTACTTTCCATGATTGAAAAACAATAAAAAAAGAAATTCGGAAATTTAGAAATCCAACAATTCTAAGCAACTCTCAACTCTCGCATCTAGTATCATTAGTAAACTATTCTTTGACAATATTAATAATTCATCAATAATAAAACAAGTATAAAGTTTCTGTTGACGAGGGATTTCTTCAGATGTCAAATTTTGTTTCGATCGAGACGATGTTTATTTCATGAGTACTAGAAAAGTCTAAAATGGTTTAGTTGTGCAGGTCTTCCTTATTGAAATAATCTAAGATCATCTTGAAAATCGACTTTTGACTTCAAACTTTGCACGCACAAAGTTTTCAACCAGATTAGTTCATTGGAGAAGTTGTAAGTTTTTCTAGTATCTTCTTTTCTGAAATATTGAATATTCCAAAGTTTCTCATGTATAAAAGCAAATTTTGTTCATATATCTACATCTCCAGAAAGATAATACTAGCACGTGACTTAAGAAGGACGAAAAATAAGAAAATTTCGATAACCTCAAGAATGAAAGCCTAGGAAACTAAACTGTTCTAGAAATATCTATTATTCACTAGTACTCATCAGGTGAACATCGTGCTGGTCGAAAAACTATTTGACATTTGTAAAGATTCTCTTGTCAGTTACTATACAACATCATTTTGTATTAATCGATTGTAAAAAGAAAATTTACTACTAATGAGATCATCAAATGATATAAATATATAGTAGATATCACTTTGATATCGATTACAATCTATCTAAAACATCGTCTATATAAAAATTTCTGTTAAAAAAATTCATTTTTTTTTCTAACGTTTGTCGATGTACGATTTTTAATAAAGCAAAGGTATTTTTAACTATATTTAGAAAATTTAGGAAATTCCATCGTTTGATGTAGCAATATATGACTAATATTTGTCCTTTCGTAAGTTGGATACTGAAGCCGTTCGATTAAGGCCTTCTTCACAAAATTCAATCTTGAGTTAGATACATTCAGATCTTTGTGGAATTTTTATGATATATTGCGGGTGCAGTGAAGAATTCATACTAAAATTTTCAAGTGGACTCTCATTATTTACATTTTTTTAATCTAAAAGTGCATATTAGACTTCAGTGCTTTGTTTGTAAATACTTTTTATGCAGAGAAAAAGCATGAGAAGTTTAATCCTTTGAAAAAATCCCAAATCGTCATCTGTCGATAGAAATACTTCTCTGCATTATAACAGTAATGCTCAAAAAAGCGATCAGCTACCATGAAGCTTCTTTGAGAATTCTAACATGCGCGATCAGAATAGCAAAAAATGATTTCTCACTTTTTCTGACAAAAGCATATTTTTTGTAAGTAGAATATGACAGATTAGCAGAAAAGCTATGAAAAAAATATGTTGTCTTACTGGTTTTTCTTCGTATTTAATTGCCAAATAGAGTCTAGCTAGAAGTAAATATTTTTCTTCTGATTCTTTCCCAGTTTTTCCTAAAACACAATCAAGTTCTCTATGACCACGAACTTTATCAAGTAATTTCACGGCATATGCACTTAATTGATCAGCTAAATTCATATATTCATTCTAAACAGAAATAATATTCATTTAAAATATAGTTCATTCTTTATATTTTTATTTACTTTAAAATATTTTTCTTTTGCTGATAAATCTCTTAATTCTCGACCAAGTTCAAATGCTGTTAAAATTGGATCAACTGATACTAAACTAATATAACTTTCACTTGCCAAACCACGATATGCATTTAAACGTGATTGTGCATGACGTAATGAATCAAATTTAAATTTATGATGACATTGTAAACATTTACAGTGATAATCATGTGGTTTTGTTATACGATCACCACCAATTAAGAGTAATTGAACTAATCAGAAAAAGTAACAAATCAAAATAAATATGAATATTTATATGAATTTCTTGCTTACCTATTTCCGTTCGATTGTATTGTGCTGCTAATATTAATGGTGTTATATCAGGTGAAAATTGTGCATCATCTGATGATGGTGTATGCCAAAATGACTCTTCATCAGCCGTAATAGCTCTTCGTTCAGATAATATTTTAAATTTTGGATGACGTAAACATGCTTCAGCTATTTGTACATGACCAAGATAAATAGCTAATAAAATAGCTTCACGCATTTTTTGTCCATCACATTGAGATAATAAATGTGTAACAACCTATAAGAAAAAATATTTACTTCTATCAAGAATACTAATGATTATTCTACTTCAAGATGTTCATTTTCAATAGCTAATTGCATTGCTGTACGACCTAATTGATTAGTAACATCAATATTAAATTTAGGATCGTCTCGAAGAATTTGATGTACTGTACTATAATCTCCATTTTCACATGCACGAACAAATTTTTCCTTTATGTTCATTTCCTAATATAAAAATAAACAAAGTGGGAAGGAGAAATAATGGTTTTTTATTTATAAATTTTATTTTTATTTACCCCATTTCTTGAACTATTGCTATAGGCTGATTTATATAAACTATTTCGAGGAGCAAGTAATTCAGCACGTCCACGTATATTGGCTTTGGTTAGGTCAGGAAAACTTTTATTTTGAATTCCAGCTAGAGTATGGCTACCACTTATTGCCATTTTGATCGATTTACTTTGTTAACGCTAAACGTTGATTCAAAATAAATACGTAGCTAGAAATAAAGCAAGAAAAAATTGTTAAATTCAAATATAAATAAATGTTGTATTTCTTCGAATAGTAAAACAAAAAAAACGAAGGAGAGCGTCTTATTCAATCATTAATCCATATTTTTTTCCATAGAAATATAATATAGAAATTAGGAATTCTTTTAGAACTATTGCGTCTACGATAGATATGAAGAGAAAGAAGTGGAGAAGGGGAACAAGCAATGTTCAGATTACTAAAAAGACAATAAGCAGATGCTTATCCGCGTTAGCATACATAGAGATAAATATGCCACTATCTCATAAAAACTAATAGAAACGGCAAAAATATACAGATTTTTATAAATATTTAAGAAATATCGCATAATCTAAACTACTCAAATATTATTTAATGTCGTTGGTGTTGTTATTTGTCTCTATTTCTTTCTCGATCTTAATTTTCTGAAAAAGAATAAATGAAAAAAAAGTCGAGTATTGTTGTCGTGGTATGATTGAGTAAAAAGAATAAATGGCATAAACATGCGTTCTCGACTAGCATCGATGAAAGTAAAAAAAAAAATTGATGAATATTCTATTTGTCAATGTGTCTCCAATGTATGATAGAAGCAAAAATATAAAAAGTAGAAAGGATTGTTCATAAAATTAAATTTCAAAGATTCATTAAAGTACTTATTTTACCTATATTTATTAACATTTTCTGAAGAATGAGATCAATTGCATTTCATTTTTCACCATAAATTAAATTGGACAAATAAGATAAAATGAAATATGTTAATAAATTTTTTTCAATATAAATCCAATACAACCGGAACTAAACAAGATAAATTTATATTATGACGAACGTGTGTTTGCTAGAAAAAAATTTATGTCAATATCATTTATTATATTTTCTCTTGTTCCATATTGTAAAAAAAGAGTAAATTGAAATGCCCTTTGTATAATTTCAAAGGTTAGGAAAATAAGAAGAATATATTCTTTTTTAGATTTATGTATTACATAAAACATTTTGCAAGTTTATATCGAATAAAATATCAAATTTAAAACTATTTTTTCGAATAAATAGATTCATTAATTTTATCGAATAAAAACGAAAATATTTCTCTCCATCAAATAAATTACCATGAAATATTTGCTCATCTACCCCAGAACGAATTTCGTTTAGTGTGATTTTATCATTGATTCATAACAGTTAATCAAACTTTTCTCAATTCTTTCGCTAATTACAAGTATGCCATTATTCATTATCATGATGCAGAAATCAGATCAAATATACAGGATTTGCAATAGAGGGAGCTGAAAAAAATGCTCCTAAGCAGAACCACTTCTTTTGGGTACATGTCATCGTAAGCGGAGAAAAAGTAGAAATGCACTGAATATCAAATCCATTTCGGAACGAAATTATATTTCCTACATTTTAATCATTTGTAAAATTCAATAGTTTATTAACAAAATAGTATTATGAACTGAAATTCTCAGGCTACGTTTCTAGACAGATATAAATCATTTTGAATTATTGATAATTTTCCACTATTATTAAAAGAATGCATACAAAAGTAGTATTTCATATATTTTTGCGGACAATATGTACCATACTAATATTATTGATTCACTATTTGAATTCATTTTCATTATGATTCATTATATATCACAGGTATCGAGTTTCAATAGTTACAAACTGTATCTAAATTATGGATGAATTTTGATTTCACAATGGAAAACAAAGTACAACATCACAAAGAAGGATAATACTAATTAGTATTATAGCTAAGTAATCCTATGAAAACAAAAAACTCTTTAAAAAAATCAGTCTTTAGAAAGAAGCTGCTTTTTTTCTGGGGTGATTATACCACTAGCTTTATGGTTATACCAACGAGAACTTTACGTTTTTCGATGATTTTTGATTACACAACGAAATATATTTAGGCTTGTAGAGATCAAAGATGGGATCGGTTTGTTTTTTTATGGAACCGAACTGAACCAAAAGACTCAGACCAAAGCTTGAACGAAAATATTTATATTTGTACTTTTCCAAGTAAATGTAAAATTACAAATATTCATCGGATGTACTTTGTATATTTTTTACTTGTACTTTGAACCCCATACTTTCTTAGTGACACTTAAGCATGAAAACCTGTATTTTGTGCTTCTACTTACAAAACCAAGCAAAGTCTCCTTACGTATTTGAAATATCGTTTTGAACACTTCACTATCGGCATCAACGGGAAGCGTTTCAAATGTTAAAACTTATTCGATTAACTAATTTAACCATCTATTACATATACGTGTGAATTTAATAAAAATGAAAACGAATATCGGGCTTCTGTTTGTGTTTGCAAACCTAACGCTCTTTTATGTAAAGCATTTTTTTATATTTTCCATTTATTGCA